TCAATAGGCATACCTCGCCTTGAAGTCAATGTCCCACCTGTACCGGCTCCTCCTGCTAGTTTGGCTTATTGTGGACAATTAAACATTTCAATTTCTGGTTGTACTTAAGCTCTATATATTGTCAATGTTGTCCATAACATCAATTTTGTGTCTGTGCCCTTTTATACCCAGCGCAAATATGTGGCCATTGAAATACCAGGCGCTATCAACAAGATGTTGTCTGTTCTCTGCTTTTAGGGTTCTCAATACTTGCGCATACATGCTGGTAATATGGTCTAACATGATGAAATCCTCTTTTAACGCTTCACGCTTTGTTATCACAGAGTTTCTTGCCGCTGCCGTATTAAACTTGACAATTACAGGGCGCGGATTTTGTTTATCAGCGGATGGGATTCTGTGAATGTCTAGGATGTCCTGCAGATCGAGAGTAACGTTTGTTCTCTCAGCCACGATGGTACAAAACTCTTCTTTCAGTTTTTGGCCCTTCCATTCTGGCCAGTTAAGGATCTTGATATTGTTCTTTTGTGAGTACTGCTGGTTAAATTGGCCATACTGACTGCTGTGCTGGCAAGCTCGTTTACATCCTTCAATTTGGTCTCCAATTTACTAATTTGTTTCTTAAGATTTGAAACATTTTCCATGTTGATGTCATTGTCCATCATGAGCCCATCTACTTTGTCTGATAACTGTTTCCTTATTTTGGCAGAGTAGAATTTTAACATCAGAATGTTTGTAACAAAATAGATTTGCAAGTGACTGATGGCAAGGTATACAAATCTTAAAGTGCGCTTCATCTTATGTACATTAGCTTTTAGTTACTTACCTTAATTTAATGTAGGAAATGATTGTAAAGTTTTAAATCGTATAATGATGATATTGATATTAATACAATAATTCCATTTGGGGATTTATGATTCTTCTTTGGAGTTTTTAAGTAACACTTCTTGATAAACACCTTACCTCGAATATGTCGTTGCACAGAACTCTGTACGTAGTCCAATTGTTTCTGCTGTTCATATTTACCTAATGAATCAATACAGACTGACCTTTCTTGTTTCTTCTTTATATTTCAGAATGAATGCGTAGTTTCAGAAAACCATGATTGCAAAGGATACATGTATTTTTATTTCTTTTTTTTTAATTCACATAGAAAAATGAAAAACTTTCTGTGAGTATCACTGCATGAAAAGTCGCGTTTAATATAATTTAATAAATTCGTTTACTCCAGTAAATTTCTTGTATTGAATTTAATTTATGTATAACGGTACATTTTACATGAAATATATTGTGATATAATTAACTACAGTTTTCAAATAAGTATAATTATATTTAATGCAAAATACGTCAGGAATAATATAGTTTAATAGAGAAGAATATACGTTTCGTTTAAGAATATCGACATGTAAAAGTAAATATGCTTAATCTAAGTTTAAGTATGTTTTTGGTATTTTAAATATGTCATAAATATTAATTCTTTATTTTAATCAAAATAAAAGATTGTTTACAGTTTTGTTATTGCAAAATAACAAAATCATTTACATTAAAACTTCCGACGTTGTAATGTTGGCCCGACATTAATGAACCGTCAATGTTGCTGCGTAAACTTATGATGAAACATTTTTTTAAAAAAATATATTTATTTATTTTAATTTTTATTTATTCATCTTTAATTATTTAACCCTTATGTAGATTTTCAAAACTGTGGAATATAACTTAGATTTTTTTTTCACTAAAACTGTCGACTAATACTGTAGTACAATTACATCGGGATCGAAGTCGGGCTCGAAATGCAATTAATTTAAACAACACATCGCGCCGAAATTCAAGTTTTTTGGGGTTCCACGGCCACGCAGCCATGTTGAACTTGATCATGATGTTGTACAGAAGGAAAGTGCGAAAGAGAGTGTCGCGAAAAGGAGAAGTATGATTAGCTTTGGATGGAATTTCTGTTTTGACAAGATGAAGACATTTTACGACCCTGTATTGCGGTAGGAACAATGTACAAAATTTTATCATGTGTCCTTGAATGAATAATTACTTCTGCTACTGACAATGTTACTGTTCCTTAGTCTGGGCATTACACATAAAATGCCTGACCGTAAAAACGTTTGGGCAAGCACTATTTAAATTTTGCAATAATTATTTAACACGTTTAAACATCTCTCATAAAGATGGATTTTAACCAGAATTTCCTCGTTTGGATTGGTTCAGGAATTTTAGTGTTCCTCTGTTCAGCATTTACAAAGTATGTTGTACAATGTAAAAAAAAAATATTTACTTTTTAATGCATGTTCAAGATTATATTCAGCACTTATTTTGATTATTTAATAGTTGCAGTGGACTGTGCCTGAGACAATTCCCCACAGTGCCTGCATATATTGTCAGCTTGTGAAAATGGTGAGAACCATGCAGCTCAAATTTTCATATATCATATATAACCTAGCATTGTTTTTTAGTAACTTGTATATTTTAGCATAAGACTATAAAAAAAAAATATCGCAACAACTTGAACTACTATTTACCAAGAAAACAAGACGAGGTTTATATTCTTAATTTCCTTATAACAGGGTATTATTTCAACTCGGAATAATTATTTCATTCGGAATTTAAAGAATTAAAAAAAATAAGCTACTAAGTCTCCTTACATGTATTTGTAGCTCAGTAGAAAAAAATGTTGCCTTAGATCTCTGCATATTTTGTGAGTATTTGGGTAAAGATTTTGTTTATAAACTCATTAAATAAGTTATTCTATTTTCTGTTAATTATTTCTTCTTATCTATTTGTTTGTTATTTGTTTGTTTATTTATTTTTGTGTTTGTTTGTTTATTTATTGGTGTAAACAAGGTTGCATGTACTGGCAGGGGTTAGATGAATTTTTTACTGGGTTAGTTGGCGCATGCCCAAAGGGGTTAGTCGCCGCCGGGTGTCGACTAACCCCTTTGGGCATGCGCCAGTTGAGTTAGTTAAAAATCCTGTAGTAAATCCATATTCAATGTGTATTCGGTCTGTATTGTTAATCAGTCCACGCAATGTACGTAATAAACGGTAATTAACACGGTAGAAGTGTTGTTTACTGTCACGATGCGCTTAAATCCTAAGTATTTCATTCCAAGTATCCATGAATGAAGACTAGACCCGGGTCCCTACACCATGTGCACATGCCGATCTCCCGAAGAAAATAAATCACGGAACAAGAGAACGAAAATACATACCAATGCATATTCATCACGATAACTGAAAACATACAGTCGTAAGAACGATTAAATCCATCAAATAGCCAGTGAAACGCGGCGATGTCAACACTGCCAATATGCACTGCAAACAACTCCTGTTCGACGTCATTTTTCGAAGTACGACGTCACAGGTACACTGTTTTCCCGAACTTTCTCTCTGTATCAAAATGGCGTATAGGCATTGTACGTAATATAAGGTATTCTGTCACTAAGGTACATCATTTAAACATTATTTTTTTAGCTGAACGTTTTCCTTTACTTGGACAACCAAATATCACAAGAGGAAATGAAAGTGAAAAGTGTTTAGTACAAAAAACAGGCTTTAAAAATTGTAAGATCCAGGATCCGCGCACTTGTTTCATCTCCGCTAAGAGGTGCAGTTTTAGTGTGCACATCTCAAGTTTTCGATCTACTGTGACGTATCACTCGGGGAAAAACATTAGCTATGCAAGAACATACATAGGCAAGATATTCTACAGCTGTTTGTAAATAAAAAGATTAAATTAACATTTTAAATACTGAGTATTTTATGTTTTAAACGATGATGTAAATTAATATTCTATGCCCAACCTCTCTTGTTTTATTCACAAAATGTCCACCCCCTTTCCCAGAAAATTGTTCCGGCCTTACATCGTAATATATCTAGATCTATATTATAAAAGTATAATTTTGAAAAAATGTGAAAAATAATCTATACATTTTGAAATTCTTAAATTAGAAAACTCACATTTTTTCTGAGGAAGGGGGGTCGAATAACCAATAAATAATTTTCCAAAGATAGTCTAAATAATCTGTCCTTGAGGGACAAGATAATAAATAATCTGTCCCTGACCAGTGCTACCCCCCACCCCCACCCCCAGCGAATTAGAGTTTAAATTTCAATGTTCTATTTTCATGCCTTGATATTTTTTTCTCCTTAGAATAGTAGAATGGTCGTTCCCTAGCTTGCACGAAAAAAAAATTCACAAGAAGCATTAAAGTTTCAGTAATACAATTTCTTCATTAATCTTTAAACATCAGACAAGACCTTTTAAAAGTGAAGGAAGGGGGGGGGGTGAAATATAAAAAAGTAACTTGAACAGCTTCGATTCTTCGACAAGGTTTCATTCTCACTGAATTAATCCACTTCCGGCAGAACATTGGCAGGTTCGATCACAATTAAAGTAATAATGAAAAGCACGATAAGAGTGAAAATTTTCAAAAAGGACAATACTCTGGGAAAATAATAAAAAAAAAATAATAAAATCAGGAGTTTTTTTTCCACGCGAGTAGTATAAACGGTCTGGCCGGCGAGGTCAACTGAGTGCACTTTTGGGGTTGGGGGGATAGGGGGTTCAACGGAGTGCAGCCCCTGGGGGAGGATAGGGGGTTCAACTGAGTGCAGCCCCTGGAGGGGATAGGGGGTTCAACGGAGTGCAGCCCCTGGTGGGGGATAGCCGGGTCAATTCAGTACATATAATCCCCCTAAATACGGGGGTGTGTTTTACACTGTGTTTACATTATACACTATACGCTGCTACTACTACGATTCACAACGCTGCTACTACGATTTTGGCAGCGACTTTTATACCTGTTGCATCATCTGTAAGGGCCCTGTACAAAAAATACGTTTAACCTACGTTTTTTTTTTTTTATGCTGACTACACAGGTAAATACTTGGCAGCAATTCAAGTTTGTTTAGGGTCGTGTGCAAAAAAAAAAAAATATGCTTACCTATGCATTGTGACGTCATCCACTGTATAAATACTGCTTTTCTCCGACTTTCAGCTCATTCTACAGTCAGAGCCAGCTCCTATTGGGGTCATGGATTCTACTAGAGAAAAACAGTTACATGCTCAGCGATTATTAGAATGGAAAAAAAGGGAGAGCGAATTAGAACGAATTCTTGATGAAAATAAAGAGCGAGAATTAGAGCTTAGGAAAAGAAATGCGGTAAGATTACAGAGAAGAGCTCTACAAGAACAACAACGACAACGACAACTACAACGACAACGACAACTACGGTAGAGAGAATCAAATCAAATTCTTGATGAAAATAAAGAGCGAGAATTAAAGCTTCGGAAAAGAAATGCCATACTATTACAGAGAAGAGCTCAACTAGAAAAACAACGACAGCAACAGCAAAGGACAAGGGCGCATGAGGGGTCAAAGTTACCTATTCATTCACCACCCAAACCCAAGGCCATATCCCAGTATTATCGAGTCAAAGTGAATCAAAGGGTGCGCTCTAAAAAATTTAAAGCTCAACAGGATTTTTACACTGTAATTTTTAAGGAGTTTCCAGAGGAAGAAAACAGAACATTTGTTCGGCGATTATTCAGAGACATGTTACAAACTTTCAAATCGAAAATGCAGTGTCCCAGGTAGCACAAACCATTTTCAAAACATTTTATTGGTGTTGTTAAAAGGTTTTTTCGAAACATTTCAGACTAAACATTTTTAAAATGTTTTTAAAACATTTCCTCTTCTCATTAAAACATTTTTAAAATGTTTTCAAGAAGCTTATGATTAAATCCTTTTGGAACATTTTTCTAAAATATTTTTGAAACGTTTTAAAAATGTTTCAAAAGGTATGTTTAGCTTTCAAATATCAAAGATTTTTATATTACGTTTTAAAAACGTTCTAAAAACATGAAATGAAACATTCCTTTTCCATAAATCTGAAACATTGCATAAATACGTTTCTGAAACATTTGGAAGGAACGTTGTCAAAATGTTTTTGAAACATTCTTAATTCATTTAAGGGTATTTATAGCTTCCAAATATAAAAGATCTTATAAAACGTTTTAAAAACGTTCTTAAAACATGAAATGAAACATTCTTTTTGTGTAAATCGGAAACATTGTATGTACGTTTCTGAAACATTTGTAAGGAACATTTTTAAAATATTTTAAAACATTCTTAATATCGCTGTTAGTTTTCATTACTGCTGTTATTTTCAAAATGTTCTTAAAACATTCAAATAATGTATGATTGCAATTTTCCTAAAATTTAGTTTAGGAAGAAAAAAAATGAATAATTATATAGAAAAAATAGTGTTAAAATGAGGAATTGTAGACATTTTTTAATTGAAAGATTTTTTCCGGTATTTTATAATGATTTCCAGTTCTGGCTTATTGATTAAACAGACATCATTTTTATAAAGTTCTTTGATTAAACAAATCAAAAAATCAATAAATGAAAGGATAGGCAAACAAAACAAACAACTGAAATATAAATAAATGTATAAAATTATAAGCATTAAATAAAACTCTTAAATGTCTTTTTTAAAAAAAATGTTCTTCATCAAATCTGTGATCCACTCCCAGAATTTTACTCTGAGGCATTAGATAGGGATTGGCACACTGGTCAGTTTCAGTGTCATGATAACCTATTATGCAATTCTCCTGCTGGGCAGCGCGTTACAGAGTATAGTGGTTTGCTGCTTATCTAGGCCAAATTTTGAATTCTGGTAAACAAGATGTGCGCGCTTACTCCGTACCGATTTGAATGAGAAGACTTCGCACCATATAAACCACAATAATAACCTCGGGATTTATTAACTTTGAATGGTAAGAATTATTCCTTTATCATAGGCTTTAAAAGATCATTTAAAAACGACTTTTATACTACCAGTACATGATCAATAACTTTGTACAAATGTATGTAGCAATGACAAAGCGTTAAGGTTATATACATATTTGACTTGAATATTTCATTCTTAAGGCAACACAATTATATCCTTGATTCAAGTATTCGTTGTCTTTGTGAAATGTTAATCATCAAACAATATGTTGATTTAAAATGAAATTTCTTTACAGCATGGTGTTGGTTGCATCATCCATATTTTCAAATTCCCACATTCAAAAGACCCGCCTTTGGTGAAGGCAAAGGTGTACGTAAATAATATTACTCTTCAATAATATTGTCAAAGTAATTATTTTTCTGCTTTTTTCAATGCAAATGAGGAAAGAACTTAAATTTGATATATTTATTTAAAATATTTTTTGTATATTTTCATTGATCATCTTAAGATACAATAGATGTAGAACGCTGATACAAACACAATCTTCCTTATCTTTACAGATTGTGCTATTCTTTCCAAGGGGCAGATTCCTTATCAGCCTTTTCAGTGTATGTGATTCTAACCAAGTCTTATAGATCCGCCACTCTGTTCGACCTATACAGTGAACATTGAATTTCTGTGATTCTGTTCTTTTAAAATTCAGTGAATGGATTAGACGCCGTTTTCAACCTTTAAAAACCCGGTGACTTGAAAGAAAAATTAAAACTTGTACCGAAAATGGAATTTAAATGTGATTAACGTATTGAATATGGGTTTGTATTAAATGTTAAAAAATGAAATATAATTTGTGTTTATTTCTTTTAAAAATATAAATATATCATTATTTAATGAGAAAAAGTAAAAATTCAAGCAAAATACTTTTGTAACCTCGACTTTAATGTTTTGAAAACGTTTTAAAAACGAAACAATTTAAACGTGAATAAGACATTTTTGAAAAACAATGTTATGATAACATTTGTTGAAATATTTTGTAAAATGTTTTAAAAACATTTTAAAAACCATACAAAATCACGCGATTAAACATTGTTGAAAAATGTTTTTGTAACATTTAAAGAAAATGTTCCGGAAACATTTGCTGAAATATTTCACTAAAATGTTTTAAAAACGTTTAAAAAACCATACAAATTCACGTGATTAAAACATTATTGAAAATGTTTTTGCAACATTTTAAGAAAATGTTCTGACAACATTTTGCTGAAATATTTCACTAAAATGTTATAAAAACGTTTAAAAAACCATACAAAATCACGTGATTAAAACATTTTTAAAAATGTTTTCGCAACATTTTGAAAATGTTTTAAAAACATTTTCAAAATGTTTTTGTGTTAGCTGGGGTAATCCTAACGATTACCTCCGCCTGAACATACGCCACAAATCTCTGGAATCAGAGATTTGGTACGAGTTTACTCAATGTAAACATTTTAACGAGGACGTCATTTTAGACAAGATTGAAGCCGTGCAACAATCCAGAAAGGAGTTCAAACTGGGCGACGGGGGCATGGAATTTAATATGTTTCGGGTCAAGTATCCCGAGGGAAGTGGTGGCCAGAAAACCAAGCATTTACAAGTGAATAAGGAGACTTTTAAGAACAATAAACAATCCATCGTTCGGATCGTCAATCCCTGGGATAATTTTTGTTTAGCTAGAGCCATCGTCGTGACTCGATTACACAGTCAGAAACCCGAACATCCAGACCCCGAATGGGAAAAACAATGGAAACGCATGAGGTCAGGAGATTTTAAATCCTTAGACCAGAAGAACCAAGCCATAGCCCTCATGGAACAGGCCGAGTGTGATATCACTCAAGCTTGTGGATATGCAGAGTGGACGAAATTACAGCAGGTATTAGCTCCTCAGTATCGACTGAAAATATTTCAGTTCAAGTCTACTTCGAGTAAACTCACCTTAGAGCGCATCTTCAAAGGCTGGGGAGACGGAACTTATTTGAACATATTGTTCGACGACCATCATTACGATGCCATCATATCCATGCCTGGAGTAACGGGGAACCCCTATTACTGTGATCATTGCGACGTGGGATACAGGACTGTCACAGAACATCGCTCCAAGTGTCCTCATCGCTGTACCTATTGTTTAGGACATCACCCTAATTGTCCCGATGAAGGGATCGAGATTAAATGCCAGGAATGCCATGGAATGTTTAAGAACAGGACCTGCTACGAAAATCATTTAAGACCCCATAGTAAGAAGACCACCACTACTGTCTGCAATTTAATGGAACAATGCGAGAAGTGTCAGTCTTGGATACCTAAGAAATTATTCCCTCATCACAAATGCGGAGAACAGAAACAGTGTAAGATCTGTAAGAAAATCGTCGATACCGATCATCAGTGCTACGTACAACAGAAGCCCCAGAAGAAGAAGAAGAAGGGGAAAGGGACCTTAGAGTTTTACATCTATTTCGATTTCGAATGCACTCAGGAAACCGGCATTCACATCCCTAATCTGTGTGTGGCACACCGCGTCTGTCAACATTGCAGTCACTTACCCATAGACCAACCCTGTCCTCATTGTCAACACATGGGACCCCGTCAGCACCTATTTCAAGGACCAGACACCTTAAAGAAGTTCATGGACTGGTTATTACAACCCACTACAGGTACTAAGAATTCCACTTTAGTACACGACGAGGCCATTATCATCGCCCATAACTTCAAAGGCTACGACGGACAGTTCATTTTGAATCACCTGGTGCATTCCTCTTGCCTGAAACCTAACGTCATCATGAACGGCAGTAAGATCTTATACATGGAAATATGCGGACTGAAATTCATCGACTCGTATAGTTTCTTACCCTTTGCTTTAGCCAAGATGCCCTCCGCTTTCGGATTCGACGAATTGAAGAAAGGCTATTTCCCTCACTTTTTCAATACGGAACAGAACCAGAATTACGTAGGACCTTATCCACCGGCAGCTTTCTACAAACCGGACGAAATGTCTACCAGCGGACGAAAAGCTTTTTTCCAATGGTACGACCAACAGAGGGGGAAAGTGTTTGATTTCCAGAAAGAGTTTGTAGGGTATTGTGTCTCGGACGTCGACATTTTACGCCGATGCTGTGCAAAGTTTAGAGCCACCCTCAAGAGTTTGGTCAATGTGGACCCTTTCCAGGAATCCATCACTTTTGCCAGTGCTGCTAATTTAGCCTACCGTCGACAATTCATGCCTGAAGACACCATAGCCATCATCCTGCTGGGCAGCGCGTTACAGAGTATAGTGGTTTGCTGCTTATCTAGGCCAAATTTTGAATTCTGGTAAACAAGATGTGCGCGCTTACTCCGTACCGATTTGAATGAGAAGACTTCGCACCATATAAACCACAATAATAACCTCGGGATTTATTAACTTTGAATGGTAAGAATTATTCCTTTATCATAGGCTTTAAAAGATCATTTAAAAACGACTTTTATACTACCAGTACATGATCAATAACTTTGTACAAATGTATGTAGCAATGACAAAGCGTTAAGGTTATATACATATTTGATTTGAATCTTTCATTCTTAAGGCAACACAATTATATCCTTGATTCAAGTATTCGTTGTCTTTGTGAAATGTTAATCATCAAACAATATGTTGATTTAAAATGAAATTTCTTTACAGCATGGTGTTGGTTGCATCATCCATATTTTCAAATTCCCACATTCAAAAGACCCGCCTTTGGTGAAGGCAAAGGTGTACGTAAATAATATTACTCTTCAATAATATTGTCAAAGTAATTATTTTTCTGCTTTTTTCAATGCAAATGAGGAAAGAACTTAAATTTGATATATTTATTTAAAATATTTTTTGTATATTTTCATTGATCATCTTAAGATACATTAGATGTAGAACGCTGATACAAACACAATCTTCCTTATCTTTACAGATTGTGCTATTCTTTCCAAGGGGCAGATTCCTTATCAGCCTTTTCAGTGTATGTGATTCTAACCAAGTCTTGTAGATCCGCCACTCTGTTCGACCTATACAGTGAACATTGAATTTCTGTGATTCTGTTCTTTTAAAATTCAGTGAATGGATTAGACGCCGTTTTCAACCTTTAAAAACCCGGTGACTTGAAAGAAAAATTAAAACTTGTACCGAAAATGGAATTTAAATGTGATTAACGTATTGAATATGGGTTTGTATTAAATGTTAAAAAATGAAATATAATTTGTGTTTATTTCTTTTAAAAATATAAATATATCATTATTTAATGAGAAAAAGTAAAAATTCAAGCAAAATACTTTTGTAACCTCGACTTTAATGTTTTGAAAACGTTTTAAAAACGAAACAATTTAAACGTGAATAAGACATTTTTGAAAAACAATGTTATGATAACATTTGTTGAAATATTTTGTAAAATGTTTTAAAAACATTTTAAAAACCATACAAAATTCCGCGATTAAACATTGTTGAAAAATGTTTTTGTAACATTTAAAGAAAATGTTCCGGAAACATTTGCTGAAATATTTCACTAAAATGTTTTAAAAACGTTTAAAAAACCATACAAATTCACGTGATTAAAACATTATTGAAAATGTTTTTGCAACATTTTAAGAAAATGTTCTGACAACATTTTGCTGAAATATTTCACTAAAATGTTATAAAAACGTTTAAAAAACCATACAAAATCACGTGATTAAAACATTTTTAAAAATGTTTTCGCAACATTTTGAAAATGTTTTAAAAACATTTTCAAAATGTTTTTGTGTTAGCTGGGGTAATCCTAACGATTACCTCCGCCTGAACATACGCCACAAATCTCTGGAATCAGAGATTTGGTACGAGTTTACTCAATGTAAACATTTTAACGAGGACGTCATTTTAGACAAGATTGAAGCCGTGCAACAATCCAGAAAGGAGTTCAAACTGGGCGACGGGGGCATGGAATTTAATATGTTTCGGGTCAAGTATCCCGAGGGAAGTGGTGGCCAGAAAACCAAGCATTTACAAGTGAATAAGGAGACTTTTAAGAACAATAAACAATCCATCGTTCGGATCGTCAATCCCTGGGATAATTTTTGTTTAGCTAGAGCCATCGTCGTGACTCGATTACACAGTCAGAAACCCGAACATCCAGACCCCGAATGGGAAAAACAATGGAAACGCATGAGGTCAGGAGATTTTAAATCCTTAGACCAGAAGAACCAAGCCATAGCCCTCATGGAACAGGCCGAGTGTGATATCACTCAAGCTTGTGGATATGCAGAGTGGACGAAATTACAACAGGTATTAGCTCCTCAGTATCGACTGAAAATATTTCAGTTCAAGTCTACTTCGAGTAAACTCACCTTAGAGCGCATCTTCAAAGGCTGGGGAGACGGAACTTATTTGAACATATTGTTCGACGACCATCATTACGATGCCATCATATCCATGCCTGGAGTAACGGGGAACCCCTATTACTGTGATCATTGCGACGTGGGGTACAGGACTGTCACAGAACATCGCTCCAAGTGTCCTCATCGCTGTACCTATTGTTTAGGACATCACCCTAATTGTCCCGATGAAGGGATCGAGATTAAATGCCAGGAATGCCATGGAATGTTTAAGAACAGGACCTGCTACGAAAATCATTTAAGACCCCATAGTAAGAAGACCACCACTACTGTCTGCAATTTAATGGAACAATGCGAGAAGTGTCAGTCTTGGATACCTAAGAAATTATTCCCTCATCACAAATGCGGAGAACAGAAACAGTGTAAGATCTGTAAGAAAATCGTCGATACCGATCATCAGTGCTACGTACAACAGAAGCCCCAGAAGAAGAAGAAGAAGGGGAAAGGGACCTTAGAGTTTTACATCTATTTCGATTTCGAATGCACTCAGGAAACCGGCATTCACATCCCTAATCTGTGTGTGGCACACCGCGTCTGTCAACATTGCAGTCACTTACCCATAGACCAACCCTGTCCTCATTGTCAACACATGGGACCCCGTCAGCACCTATTTCAAGGACCAGACACCTTAAAGAAGTTCATGGACTGGTTATTACAACCCACTACAGGTACTAAGAATTCCACTTTAGTACACGACGAGGCCATTATCATCGCCCATAACTTCAAAGGCTACGACGGACAGTTCATTTTGAATCACCTGGTGCATTCCTCTTGCCTGAAACCTAACGTCATCATGAACGGCAGTAAGATCTTATACATGGAAATATGCGGACTGAAATTCATCGACTCGTATAGTTTCTTACCGTTTGCAATAGCCAAGATGCCCTCCGCTTTCGGATTCGACGAATTGAAGAAAGGCTATTTCCCTCACTTTTTCAATACGGAACAGAACCAGAATTACGTAGGACCTTATCCACCGGCAGCTTTCTACAAACCGGACGAAATGTCTACCAGCGGACGAAAAGCTTTTTTCCAATGGTACGACCAACAGAGGGGGAAAGTGTTTGATTTCCAGAAAGAGTTTGTAGGGTATTGTGTCTCGGACGTCGACATTTTACGCCGATGCTGTGCAAAGTTTAGAGCCACCCTCAAGAGTTTGGTCAATGTGGACCCTTTCCAGGAATCCATCACTTTTGCCAGTGCTGCTAATTTAGCCTACCGTCGACAATTCATGCCTGAAGACACCATAGCCATCATCCTGCTGGGCAGCGCGTTACAGAGTATAGTGGTTTGCTGCTTATCTAGGCCAAATTTTGAATTCTGGTAAACAAGATGTGCGCGCTTACTCCGTACCGATTTGAATGAGAAGACTTCGCACCATATAAACCACAATAATAACCTCGGGATTTATTAACTTTGAATGGTAAGAATTATTCCTTTATCATAGGCTTTAAAAGATCATTTAAAAACGACTTTTATACTACCAGTACATGATCAATAACTTTGTACAAATGTATGTAGCAATGACAAAGCGTTAAGGTTATATACATATTTGATTTGAATCTTTCATTCTTAAGGCAACACAATTATATCCTTGATTCAAGTATTCGTTGTCTTTGTGAAATGTTAATCATCAAACAATATGTTGATTTAAAATGAAATTTCTTTACAGCATGGTGTTGGTTGCATCATCCATATTTTCAAATTCCCACATTCAAAAGACCCGCCTTTGGTGAAGGCAAAGGTGTACGTAAATAATATTACTCTTCAATAATATTGTCAAAGTAATTATTTTTCTGCTTTTTTCAATGCAAATGAGGAAAGAACTTAAATTTGATATATTTATTTAATATATTTTTTGTATATTTTCATTGATCATCTTAAGATACAATAGATGTAGAACGCTGATACAAACACAATCTTCCTTATCTTTACAGATTGTGCTATTCTTTCCAAGGGGCAGATTCCTTATCAGCCTTTTCAGTGTATGTGATTCTAACCAAGTCTTATAGATCCGCCACTCTGTTCGACCTATACAGTGAACATTGAATTTCTGTGATTCTGTTCTTTTAAAATTCAGTGAATGGATTAGACGCCGTTTTCAACCTTTAAAAACCCGGTGACTTGAAAGAAAAATTAAAACTTGTACCGAAAATGGAATTTAAATGTGATTAACGTATTGAATATGGGTTTGTATTAAATGTTAAAAAATGAAATATAATTTGTGTTTATTTCTTTTAAAAATATAAATATATCATTATTTAATGAGAAAAAGTAAAAATTCAAGCAAAATACTTTTGTAACCTCGACTTTAATGTTTTGAAAACGTTTTAAAAACGAAACAATTTAAACGTGAATAAGACATTTTTGAAAAACAATGTTATGATAACATTTGTTGAAATATTTTGTAAAATGTTTTAAAAACATTTTAAAAACCATACAAAATCACGCGATTAAACATTGTTGAAAAATGTTTTTGTAACATTTAAAGAAAATGTTCCGGAAACATTTGCTGAAATATTTCACTAAAATGTTTTAAAAACGTTTAAAAAACCATACAAATTCACGTGATTAAAACATTATTGAAAATGTTTTTGCAACATTTTAAGAAAATGTTCTGACAACATTTTGCTGAAATATTTCACTAAAATGTTATAAAAACGTTTTAAAAACCATACAAAATCACGTGATTAAAACATTTTTAAAAATGTTTTCGCAACATTTTGAAAATGTTTTAAAAACATTTTCAAAATGTTTTTGTGTTAGCTGGGGTAATCCTAACGATTACCTCCGCCTGAACATACGCCACAAATCTCTGGAATCAGAGATTTGGTACGAGTTTACTCAATGTAAACATTTTAACGAGGACGTCATTTTAGACAAGATTGAAGCCGTGCAACAATCCAGAAAGGAGTTCAAACTGGGCGACGGGGGCATGGAATTTGATATGTTTCGGGTCAAGTATCCCGAGGGAAGTGGTGGGCAGAAAACCAAGCATTTACAAGTGAATAAGGAGACTTTTAAGAACAATAAACAATCCATCGTTCGGATCGTCAATCCCTGGGATAATTTTTGTTTAGCTAGAGCCATCGTCGTGACTCGATTACACAGTCAGAAACCCGAACATCCAGACCCCGAATGGGAAAAACAATGGAAACGCATGAGGTCAGGAGATTTTAAATCCTTAGACCAGAAGAACCAAGCCATAGCCCTCATGGAACAGGCCGAGTGTGATATCACTCAAGCTTGTGGATATGCAGAGTGGACGAAATTACAACAGGTATTAGCTCCTCAGTATCGACTGAAAATATTTCAGTTCAAGTCTACTTCGAGTAAACTCACCTTAGAGCGCATCTTCAAAGGCTGGGGAGACGGAACTTATTTGAACATATTGTTCGACGACCATCATTACGATGCCATCATATCCATGCCTGGAGTAACGGGGAACCCCTATTACTGTGATCATTGCGACGTGGGATACAGGACTGTCACAGAACATCGCTCCAAGTGTCCTCATCGCTGTACCTATTGTTTAGGACATCACCCTAATTGTCCCGATGAAGGGATCGAGATTAAATGCCAGGAATGCCATGGAATGTTTAAGAACAGGACCTGCT